TCATAAGTGGTCCTGTCTGGCTTGAATGTCTGACTTCAGAGACTGTAACTCTTCTGTTTATGCAGATGTTCTCCTCTGTCCTGCTGCCCGTGCAGACTGTGGACGAGAAACAAAGGGCCACCCAAATGTCGCCGAAAACCGGTGACCGGCTATTGCAGATCACTTCTAAAACCATTCCAATATTTGCACGCATATGCTTTATTCCCAAGTGGTTGTGCTAAACTAATGTCATGGCTTGTAGAAGGCTCGGTTCATAGAACACGGAACAACTTTACAAGTCACAGCCATGTCAATAAATGAAAACATTTAGACAATTTCAAGAAATGCATGTGATAGAGAATGTGTCAGAAGCACTATTTTCTTTCCGTTGTTTTTCTATGACGTCACCTCTTACACCCACCGAGAAACAACCTTGGAGAAGAGCCCAGTACTGCAGACGAATGAAGAACGAGCCCCTGTAGACCTGGAACTGGGTTCTTTTCTCTAGGAAACACGAGAGTGTGGACGAATGTCATTTGCATCCGAAGAGCAGTCTCCCACGTCCGTTCCTTTCAAGATTTTGGAGTCCTTCTCACCACTCGCTGGGATGAGGTGCGCGATGAAAGGAAACCAACAGCCTGTCAGGGGTCCCAGAGCGTCGGTCCTGTAAGTCGTCCCTTTCAGCGCGAGCCCTGGAGCACCGTGACGGAGCGCCTTCTCTGGACAGTCTACTGAACGTGTCACACGCTCTCCCTCCTGAAGAATCACATCCTGAAATCTGACCATATGTGTGCCTCACCTTCCCTGGAGAAGCTGAAATTTTCCCGTATGTTGATTGTTCTCAGGAAGCAAACACACCAACAAATGTGTGGGTCCCCCCTGGGGAGGTAGCATTACTCACAAGTGGTGGTTTGGAGCTTGGAAGTGTGAAGAAGGCAGTGTGCCTGGCCAGCAGGATGTGGTGGATGAGTGACAGTAGGTGTGCGTGTCTGTGTGACAGTAGGTGTGCGTGTCTCTGTGACAGTAGGTGTGCGTGTCTGTGTGACAGTAGGTGTACATGTCTGTGTGACAGTAGGTGTGTGTGTCTGTGTGATAGTAGGTGTGCGTGTCTGTGTGACAGTAGGTGTGTGTGTCTGTGTGACAGTAGGTGTGTGTGTCTGTGTGACAGTAGGTGTGCGTGTCTGTGTGACAGTAGGTATACATGTCTGTGTGGCAGTAGGTGTGTGTGTCTGTGTGATAGTAGGTGTGCGTGTCTGTGTGACAGTAGGTGTGCGTGTCTGTGTGACAGTAGGTGTGTGTGTCTGTGTGATAGTAGGTGTGCGTGTCTGTGTGACAGTAGGTGTGTGTGTCTGTGTGACAGTAGGTGTGTGTGTCTGTGTGACAGTAGGTGTGCGTGTCTGTGTGACAGTAGGTATACATGTCTGTGTGACAGTAGGTGTGTGTGTCTGTGTGATAGTAGGTGTGCGTGTCTGTGTGACAGTAGGTGTGCGTGTCTGTGTGACAGTAGGTGTGTGTGTCTGTGTGACAGTAGGTGTGCGTGTCTGGGTAGGAAAACAAGTGGAATTTTCAAGGAAAAAGTTGCAGCCATATCCTGGTAGGATTAAGGAAGCTGTGTGATGTCTCAGCGTCTGCCTGTCTCGGTCCCTTGGTGAGGGGACACGGTGTTTGAGAGTGCCTCTGTCACGAACCTGGCCCAGGACTGCACACTCACAACCTCAGCCCTGAGCTTTGAGGACACGTGCAACCCCGAAGCCCCGGGTTCCGAGACCACCCACACGCTGTGCATGAGATTCGATTCCAACCACAGACATACGGGCCACCGGGTTATGGGGGCAACCGGGACATGAACAGAAGGTGTGGGTGGACCCAGTCCCCCTTTTTCTTTTTCTTTTTCTTTTTTTTATCCTCACCCGAGGATATTTTTCCATTTTTTGTACAGATAGAGTGGGAGGGAGAGAGAGGAAGGGAGAGAGAGAGAGAAACATCGACATGAAGGGACACATCGAGTGGATGCCACCCACACGACCAACCAGGGCAGGGGACAAACTGCAACCGAAGTACATGCCCTTAGCGGGAACCGAACCCGGGTCTCTCCGGACCGCAGGCGAACGCTCTAACCGCTGAGCCAAACTGGCCAGGGCCCCCTTTTTCTTTACCCTGGGATTTCTTTCCTGTGTTTCCTGCCCCCCCCCCCGCCCCAATTCAAGGGCAAATTTCCACAGCCTGCCACTCGCTTGGCCAGGTGACAAAATCTGTGTCCTGGGAAACCGACCGGGGCAAAGGGAGGGAAAAGGTGAGGTGGATACACACGACCGGATGGATTCAGCAAAGACCCAATTTCCATGCTCTCTTCAAACTGCGCTTGAGAAAGGCAGTAATTTTCCTTGAGATGATTTTTAACGCCGTCACTGTTTCATTGAAAGATTTCATCATTTTCATAAAGCTGTATTTCTGAATGTAAAAAATAATTACCAACCCATCGTAATGATTTCAATATTACAGTGTCACCTCTCATCACTGGCCATTTTCCTGGGATCCTCCCTCCCCCATAGGTGACCAGTATCCTTTGTCATCTACCCAGTGGTCCCACAACTCTTCGGTGTTTTTGCTTCTGTGAAGTTGGGGCATTTCTTCCTCAATACCCCCCCTTCCACCCCGCCCCCCAGCAGCAGGAGAATAGCACGTGGGTCACATGACTCCTAGGGCCCTTCTGCCTCTCTCCCCTGGATCCTCTTACAAGTACGCACGTGGCAGACACTAGGGGAGTCTGAGAAGCTCCTCCCGCCCTGCTCCCCATCAGGACAGCCCGCCTCAGCTCGTCCGGAGCCTGTGGCTCCTCCCGCCCCAGCAGCGTTGATGGAGTTGGCTTTGCAGGCGCGCAGTCTCTTTGTCCCTCTGTTCTTCCTCGCTCTAGTTCTCCCTTCTCTCCTGCCCATCTAGTACCCACCTGTCATTGAATGGATGGACACACACACACACACACACACACACACTCCTCTCCACTTGGTGACTTTCCTGCACCTCCAAGGACTTGCAGCCGCCTGGAATCAGGAAGCTGAGATCTTGGTAGAGGGAGCCTGGGCGGTTGCATCTGGGCGCCTGGATCCTCTTTGGACTTGGGGTCACATCATTATCCCTCACCCCCAATGATTAGCGGGAGGCCACCACCCTCTCCCAATACCGTTGCCGGAACGGGGGCTGGACCGCCCGAGCCCGGCCCACCTGCGCGTCCACGTGGGCGCCCGCGCGCCGCAGCAGCAGGTGCCCGAGCTGCGGGCCTGGCTCCGAGCGCCCTGCTGGCCACTCCAGCGGCCCGTTCCTCCCTCCTGTGGCTTCTGAGGTGACCCCGGGCTCTGCAGCACAGCCTCTCTTCGCTTCTCACTGTAGCTCTTCCTATTCCCACCCCCTCACCGCCACCATCCCCTTCCCAAGCCCCGAGCCGGCTGCGGAATCCGGAGGCGCGGGGTCTGCGGCTGAACCCTGGGTCCCGGGTTCCAGGGCCTGTGCGTGGCCCCGGGTCGGCTGGTGGCGGTTCTGCGCAGAGCCGGGGGCGGGGCGGGACCGGCGGCGCTGGGGCCCTCTGCGGCCACCACCTTGTTTACTGTTCCTTCCTGTTTATTTGCCTTTTAGGAGCCGGGGCTTTTCCAGGGCTGTTTCCCCGGCAACTCTGTGCCCCCTCCGAGCTGAACCCCCTGAGCGCCAGCCGGTCCCCGGGGGGGGGGGCAGGAGGTCGCTGGCGTGCGCCTTGGGCTGTTCAATTCCTGCCGAGGCTGGAGGGAGGTTGCGAGCAGCCTATGTCTTTGCACCGACAGTTCGGCGGGGCGACCTCCGCGCGGAGCCAGGAGACGAACCAGGAAACTTTTGCCGCCAGCGCGGCCTCCCTGCGCCCCTGCTCGCTTTCCCGGCCGAGACCGATCCAAGGCCAGGCCTCCGCCCCGGAGACAGCGCCCGCCTCCTCCACAGATGGCATGTAAGGGCTGGGGTCGCCGCAACTCCTAACCCTTAAAAAGTGCGAAGTTAACCCTCCGAGGGGCTCCACCTGCGCCCCTCCCCCTTGCACGCCTTTTATCAGGCGCTGGGATCCAGCTCCGATTCGCTCGCTGCCTTCGGGCCCCTCGGCCTGGGTGGCCGAGTGACGGATCCCAGCCTCCCCCCCGCCCCCCCAGGATCCGAGAGGCTGTGCTGCCCTTGCCGCCGCCGCCCCAGCCGCCACGCACCAGCCCGGGGGCGCCGCCGCGCCCAGCTGCTCCACCGCCCGGCCCCGGGCTTCCTGGAGGGTCGGGCAGCCCACGGCTATGACTCAGGCGCCCACTTGGTAACTCTGCCATCTTCCTGCTCCTTCCCCGCCCTCCCTTCCCCGCCCCCTCCGCCACCCCCGCGCCCCTCCGCCACCCTCCAGCCCTCCTCCCAGACGCCCACCACCCTCTCCTCTCTCCGCAAGATCGCAGAGGTGGTGCGGACCCCGGCGCGCCGATGACAGACCCTGTCCTCCTGTCTCCGATGCCTCAGCGGAAGGTCCCTACGGGCTGGGCAGAGGAGGGCTGCTGGTCTTCCTCCCGGAGAGGCTGCCCTGACCGACTGCTCGTGGTGGATGAGACTGGGGACTGAGCACCCCGCCGCCACCGCCGCCGCCGCCACCGCCGCTGCCGTCGGTCCCAGGTCCCCGGCTCCGGGCGCCCCGGGCTCGCCGCCTGCGCCCACTGCCCGTGCCCTCCTGACAGCTGCGGCGGCGGCGGTGATGCAGAGGAGGAGGGCGCTGCCGCCCGCTGCGCGGGTGGTGGCGAGTGGCGCCCGGGTGTGATGCGAGCGTCATGGTGGGGCTGCTGGCTTCGCCGCGGTGACAGCGAGGGCGAGCCGGGCGGAGGACGCGCGGATTCGGATTCTAGGCTGTGTGGGCTCGCGTCTCGTCCTGCCCCTCTCTCGCTCCCCCTTCGTCTTGTCCTGGCCCATCCCTCACCGCCCCACTCCGTCCTCTCCCACCGCTGGGCGTCTTCCCGTCTCTAAATGGAATTAGTGCAGCCCGGAGCCTCTGCCGTAAGGAACAGACATGATCTATGGACGCAGTGTGCTTCACAGTGAGTACCGCTCGGCGCGCCGGCCCCTCCCTGGTGGCCCCGCTCGGAGAACCCGCAGTCCCCGCGAGTCTGGGGCAGGTGTAAACTTTCTGTATTGCAGCAAATAGCACGGGGCGTGGGGGCAGCGCGGGCAGACGCAGCTGGATCTGGGCACTGGCCGGGGGCAGCCTTTCGGTGCGCAGGACCCTCCCGGGGGCCAGGGTGGCTGGTAGTGGGAGGGTGCGCACGTGCGGCGGGGCTGGGAGTGGGCCGGAGGGCGGGCGCAGGCGGAGAGGAGAGACCGAGCTGCAGACAGCTCGCCGGATGGTGGGGAATATTCCTCCTCCGGCTCCAGGGGCTCAGCCGGCCCACACTCCCGGACGTAGTTTAGGGCACACCTGAACTCAGCTCTGGAGCGGGGGGAGAGGGAGGGGACCCCTCAACTCGCCGGCCAGTAGACCACTAGTGTGGCTTCGGGAGCGTGGGGTATGCCTGCAGTCATAGGAGAGAAACTGGAAATAAAAGCTAATGTCATCAAGTAAAAAGCAGTGTGAGAAACGTGTGGTGAAAATGTCACATTGTAACGCAAGGATTGGAGAGAGTTAATCCCCCGCCACAGAGTTGAAAGGCCGGTTTTGCCAACATGTTACCAATAGTACCTGTTTCAGGGTGCTGACCCCGCTGGGGCAGGGGACACACAGCAGACGGAACACCAACAGAGGTCCTGGTTTTGACGCTGCGTACCTGGGTGCTTGTGTGTGGACAGAGTTAAAATAAGGTTGTGTTCTATTTCAACACACATGGCAACAGTGGCTAATGTCTTGTTCTTAAAACAGATGACCAGGCTACAGCACAAAGTCATATAATGGTGCAGGTCTCAGACACTAACACCAAGGCCCAGGTACTTTTTTCTTGGAATAATCCTGAAGCTCACATTTACAAGCTCCCATAGTGAGCTTGCCTCGGGCAGTCACTGTGGAGTATACCCTCCCTTCCTGAAATTCATTTGAAATGGAAACATGAGTATATGCCTAATGGAAGGTATCTGCAGCTTTTAGATAATTGGGCAACGAAATAAAAAAATAAAGTAGAAGAGGAAGAATCGGGCGTTATGAAGAGTCGATTGCTTTCACACATTTTAGTGCTGAGTGAATCAAGAATGTTAGGAGTAAACAGAAAGTTCAGGTTCCAATGGTCGTTGTGAAGAGACAGGTCGGAGTCTCCCTGAGACCGAAACCCGGACTCAATGACATGCTTGTAGTAGTCACCGCTGTCAAATTAATAACCTGTCTCTGGGAAATACTGACTAATAAACCAGTTAAGGCTAGAAGAGATGAGGGTGATAGCTTAGCACATGCTGAGGACAGGGCTACTTGGTAGTACAGTACCTTTTCATAAGGAGCATTTTTATAATCCTGCTTAATGCTTCCAATCCACTGTCATTTGTCTGCCCCTGTCCCCCTGCCCCTCCCACCACAGGATTTGCTGTGTTGATTTTCTAAAACACAACAGCATTGCCGGTGGGTTAGCCTCAGCCCTGCGGTCTGTTGCTTCTCCTTTTCACCTTCTTTCACCTGCTGCCAAGTTCTCTCCCCGTGGAGATGCTCACAGCCCCACTCGAAGGGCAGCCTGAAGCACTGTGGGTCTCAGATCCTGCTGTGATGTGACACTGGTAGATCATTGATAACATTGCCTTTGGCCGCGAGGCAGGCATTTGCCTGAGGAGTTTGGGTCTCACCCATTCGTAACTGGCACTACTTTTTGAAGAGATCCCTGAGTTTTTCTGATTTGTGCATTTTGAAGCAATGGGTGCAAGTTCTGAGTCAACTTGGGACAGTTGATGATAATAAAATGAACCTGCTTTGATAGTTTATCGTTAAATTGTGTTATGGTGTTAGAGTTCTTGATCATTTGGTTGCATGTGAATATTATCTCTTTCTAATTTTTTTTTTTTTTTCTGTTTCAGTTGTAGCAAGTTTAATCATCCTCCATTTGTCTGGGGCCACCAAGAAAGGAACAGGTGTGTTTCTTTGGAAAACTGAGGGAGGGAGACCTCTAATTACTCCTATTTCCCCATCTCCCCCATATTCTTAATATTGCAGAATATCTGAACATGTGTTAGTGTGTATAATTGATTGGTTTTGACTAAGGCAACATTTAGAAATTAATTTACTAATGGATATTATAAAAATGTCCTCTATTTTTAGTTCTATAGAAAATTGGATGATGGCTCTTTTAAAACATTTTTTTTACAGAGAAGCAAACCACCTCAGAAACACAGAAGTCAGTGCAGTGTGGCACTTGGACAAAACATGCACAGGGAGGTGTCTTTACCTCTCCCAACTATCCCAGCAAGTACCCCCCTGACCGAGAATGCATCTACATCATAGAAGGTGAGGACAGGGACCTCCGGGCTGTGGACGGACAGTGTGCACAGAGACGCACAGATGGGCTCTGGATCTGCACACAGATATCTCTCAGTGGGCCAAGTGACTGTAAAATGTGGGATTAAGCTAATAACTGACATTATTAATAGTGGGTTAAGAACAAGTGCATTCTGAGAATTACAAACACGTCAGCAACCTAGTTTATTTGGCAGTTGATTTCATTGATGTGGAATGCTAAATGAATAGAATGGACGCACAGTTGGCCTAATGTTATCTAATGTGTCACAGTTTTGGAAACTAGTGTTTTCCTGGTTTAACAAGCACGACAATAACCTGTATGTTTGTTAGTTTTCTCTTTGCTAATATGAAGCACAAAACACATATGCATGTCAGAAATAAATCTCTCACCCCGTTTTCCAAACATCAGCCTGAACAGCAGTTGCCTGTCTGTGCTAGCAGGCGACTTCGTCGTACCTGAACGCCAAAGTCGGGGTCCCAAACTGTCGTGCCTCTTTGCATCATTTTCCCGGCTGGAAGGACAGACAGTGCTGAATAGAGACTCAGTGCCCTTCAGACATTTCCTTCCCACTACCCTTGCAGGCACCTCCCCATTAAGTATGATTTAAATGTTCATAGATGAACATTTGATCTGTGATAGGTTTTAATATGTGTTCGTAACTAACAATCCAGAACCAGCAACCTCCTTCCCAACCTGCCGCAGACAGACAGACAGACAGAGCTACCTTAAGGAAAAGATGTGTATGCTCAGCATTTCCTTATTAATAAGGGACAGGCTCATTTGATTGATCTTTTGAAGAAAAAGTCTTCATGTGTAACTGATTTCAAGAATTTCTGTTTGGAAATGACTCCTTTGCTTTTCGCAATTTGGGGACCAGGACCTTTTGTCTCTCCGTGTTGTACTTGAGCTTGAACTTTTAGCAGAGGTGCGCTTCTCAACAAGGAGGAGTCAGCTGAGAACAGGTCTGGCGTGGTAGCTTCCTCTTATGGTTGACAGAAAAGGAGGAGGAAACATGCAAATTCTGGGTTAAAATTTATTATTTTCATTAAGTTAATATTACATATCTACTATATAAGTATAGGTTAGGAACTTCAAATGACTTAACACAGATGAAAACATTTAGTCATAAGAAGTAGGTAATTTTTTTGGCCTGTTTTACAGATAAGGAAACAGAGGTTGAAATTCACAAAACTTGTGTTTTGAAGCAACAGTATTTTAAACTTTGAAATTATTAAAAATAATAGCATTAACTGGTTCTCTCACTTAAAAAAATTAATTCAGAAGCAAATCCTTGCATGTTAATGTGCTTTTATGTTCATTATAATTTGGAATGAAAAAGCATTGCTAACATTTGATTTTAATATCAGGTACATATTTGCATTCATTCCTAGTGACAGGAAGGACAAAGCTTAAAGTGAGTAACCAGACCTTCTGTGACTATAAATCATACTTCTATAGACTATTTGAAGTACTTCATACTAGTCATTTTTTATTCGTAAGTTTATTTAGCAAATACTTATTGAAATAACTACCAAGAAACAGCCACCCATCCAGGTACAGTTTCGAGAACGCTGAACCACACAGACATGATGCCCTGTGGGAGTCACCCTATGGCCTGGGGGCTCGACCTCTTTCAAGAAACAGTGCAAAGTCCCCAAACTAGCACAGTGTGTGCGACGGGGGAGGGGGAGCAGGCTACCAGGAAGAGGAGGAGATGCTCACGCTCATTGTTGAAGGACATGTAGGAGGTGATGTTGTTCTCTCTGGAATAAAGAGCACGTGCGGAAGTGGAGGTCAGGTGTGCTCCGCACCCACAGCAGGTCGTCGGCTTCCGCAGAGGGTGAGCCCAGGAATCAGCCAGGAGGCTCAGGAGGTAGCGTCTCAGAGAACTGGGAACTACACGTGTGTCCCCGGGAAGGTGTGAGCGACAGACGAGGGGCACTGCTGAAATGATTTAGAGAAATGAGAAGGTGACACTTCGATGAGGTGGCTAAGGGAAAAGCATGCTAGTTGAGTCTTACTGTGGAAGACGGAGGAAATATGAACAGCAGTAAATATGAACGACAGAAATGATGCTGGTGATGAAAGGGAGGGATGAGTGGTGTTTAGGGAACTGAACCCCGAGTGACTGGCCGTGGGAATGAGAGCTTGGGGGACCCTTGTGCGATTCTCACGTTTTTGGCTTGGTGACTTGTTAGATGGAGTTGTGTCAGACAAGGGATATGGGTAGAGGAAGGGGGTTTAAAGAAAAAGTAATGTGTTCAATTTTGGTGTTCTTAAAATGTCTTGTAAAGAGATTGGATATATGGATCTTTAACTCAGTGGAGGGTTCTGGGATGAAAATATATATATTTATAAGACATAAATGTAGAGATTGCGGTTTAAGATAGACTGTTGTTGAGGGTAATGAATAAAATTATCCAGAAAGAGTACTTGGAGCACTGTTTTTCAACTCTTTAAAAAATACAGACGCCTAGGTCCGTCCCCAGAAATGTTGAGCCACAGGCATCATTATACTATGGTGGCTCTCCTTCGCAATGACAGCGGCACCCACACCACTGGTCTAGAGAGAGAGAGGAAAGAAGACATAGACATTTTGGAAAACGAGGTGTAAGGGATGGTCAGAGGGAAGGGAAGGAAAAGCCAGAGGAATGGACTGGAGAGTCAGGTAAATGATCGCAGCAGCTGAGTGGACAAAGTCTCAAGGAGCAGGGGACAGCCTGTAGCTTCTACATCACAAGAAAAGTCAGTTCAAAGCAAATGCGTCTGCTGTGTGAGGCAGTTAAGAATCTGTTCATCATTTCAGGATGTGTGCTCTCACTGACACATTGGGGGGAGCCATGTCCCAGTGGCTGGAGCACTTGGGGATATTGAAGGACCCACCATGGAAATACCCTTTGTTGTTTTCCTTTGTCTCCTCTTCTTTTTAATTTTTTAAAAATTGATTTAGAGAGAGAGAGAAAGGGAGAGATAGAAACATCGATGAAAGAGAATATCGATCGGCCGCCTCCTGCATGCCCCCCACTGGGGATTTGACCCACAGTGGGCATGTGCCCTGACTAGGAATCAAACTGGCAACCTCTTGGGGCCTGGGTTGACACTCAACCACTGAGCCACAGTGGCTGGGCTGTCTTCCCTTTTTTTAATGGGGCCAATTGTCATGTTTAATTCTGTGAAGGACTGCCTATTCTGTAGGAAAAGATGGATTTCACATACGAGACCAAAAGGGCCAAAGAGTTGGTCAAGTTTCTTAAGGTAAGAAGATAAGTCGGGATCAGCACAGGGGGAGGAGTCACAGAAGGGAGGATCCCTTTTACGTCCTAATGCTCCCTCACATGGAAGGCAGGGTTCCGTGTACACGAGCAGTCTTCAGGTGAAAGTTCTCGGAGTCCTCAGCGTGTCCGAAGATTCTCCAAGAGGGTAAGGCCTCTTGGAGAGGAAGCTGTTTTGGATCAAGGATGGCTTATAAAAGTGCTACAGGGAAAGGCATCTGTGACTGGAGAGACTTGGGGGAAGACCAAGGAGAGTCGGAGTTGGATCTAGAGAGCTCCAGATGGTGAGCATGTACCATCATCACTCACCTTCCATCTGCCACGAAAACTGTATGACGTACTTAGTTTTAAAGAGTTATTTTACTACCTTCTAAAGTTCACTGAGTGGAATTTTAAATGTGAGTGTACATAGTTAACTTCAATATTCTGGACTAAAGAAAATGAGTTGTCTACCAGTTCATTGTCTGCATGGTCTACCCCATGCCGTGTGATAGTACATTTCCTGAAGGAACATTGCGAGGTTGGTTCATCCACATTGGGCAGACCTTAAGTAACGGTGAAAATAAAGGTGAAAATAAATGGATTCTCTTAGATGACCTTGTATGTCCTAATAGGGAAAATAGATGGATTTATGTTGATTGATAGAGTTTTAGCTAAATTAACTTTCCCTAAGCATACATTATTTATTTCTAAAAAAAAAATAAACTTTATATGCTGACAGTTTGTTTCCTCATAAAATTGATACTGACTTATCAAGGAGGAGATAACAGACATGTTCTGTAGGAAAATGACACATACACATGGTACTTTGATGCTAATACATATATAGGTCCAGTTTCTTAAGCATTTGCCTTTTTGTTATTAGACCTCGGGGGGGGGGGGGTGCGCATGGTTTTCCAGGTAATTTCTTAGGGTATTTTCCAATTTTCAGATTTAGAAAAATTACAGATATGTCCTCACACCTGTTGTTATGGTAGATACTGTATTTATTGACCTTTGCGATACACCTTAGTGGTAGATAGAAGTAGTCCTGATTTTACTTATAAGGGTAGCACACATCTCTTTTCAATGTCCAGAGAGTCAGAAACATTTTGAGAGACTATAAAACATCCATAAAATAGTCTTTCAACATGCATTGACCTGTAACCAGTTGAGCTTCGATTTTACCTTTGGAAAGATTACATTTTGGTTTTATAAGTCTCTAATTTCCAGTTTGCCTGTATCTCAAGCATACGCCCATTGCTGACATCCATGCGTGCAAAGCTTTCATTCTGAAGCCGTCCGAGGTGACGGGCAGCCACACCTAGGCCCCAGCACGCTGTGCCCAGCATCGTTCGGGAAGATCGCTGACCACGTGAGGGCCAGCCCCGCTGAGCCAGCGCTTAGCTTCCACGTGTCTGGAGGCGGCTGGTCCCTGAAGAGGGCCACGTAGCTGAGAAGCGCTCAGATGACTGAAGTCAACAGTTGTTTATAGACTAAGAAAAATGTGGGTAGCTATTTCAACAGCTGTTCTGGCAGTCCGGGTGTGTCCGGCTGTGGCAGTCCTGACCGCCTGCATGGGGAGCCGTGTGGACGTCACTAGCAGACGCACCCGCACGGAGGGGTCTGGAGCTGCGCTGGAAGGCCCCTCACAGGCCGTAGAGAGCTGTGAACACACGTAGGAAGATGCCCAGCTCACGCACGACGCGCCCAATGCAGACCCTTTGAGCAATGATCGCTGACAAAGTGCCATGCTGGGGGCTGCAAAAAGGTGAATAGAGACAGCCTCTGTAGTGAGTAGACTCAGAGAGGTTTCTTCTAAGTGAGAGTTGCCTGTGGAAACAGGAGTTCACAGTATTAGCTACTCAAAGAAGCGGGAAAACACACTTAAGCCTGAAAGAGCGTGTTGGTTCAGGAAAGATGACCTGGCTGCGGTGACACTAGCTGGGGCTGCAGGCAGAGGGAGGGGCCCCTGCAGGTGTGAGCCGTAGGGGACCTTCAGGACCTACGTGGGGAGTGAGGAGGGCTGCGGAGCAAGTCCGAACCTGGGAGTGACGTGATGAGCTATGTGTTCAGAGAAAACCGCTCTTCGTTGCGTTGTACGCGCGTGCTGGTGAGCGGGGCCATCCGGCAGGGCTACGTGAGCAGCTGCTTACCTCCCCGCTGCTCCATCCTCAAGGGGTCTCTGACCTTAAAACGGGCTCGCGTGGAAAACACCGGGAATGAGGCCGAAAAACGCCTCTCTGCTTTCTAAACCTGCGCTAACTGCCTTTCACAAAAATACTGTGATTTTTTTTTTTTTCCAGTTCTCTGTTAGACATCGAAATGGTCGTTTTCTATCAGGATGCTATTTTGTGCGATGTCTGAGGATCAGCCCTTCTTTCTTATGGAAACATTGTTCCTTCCAGAGCTAAGTGGCAACCTACTTGCTTTGTGTTTCCAAGTGTCTCATGCTCACAGTTTGATAGACGCGCAGATAAAATCTGAACGAGAATCAGAAAAATCTAATTAAAGATTTCAGAAGGGCTTTCTAGACATGATTTCTCTATTTTTCAGCGGCCCCAAGACAGTGCATTGAACTTCACTTTGACGAGAAGTACTCTATTGAACCGTCTTGGGAGTGCAAATTTGATCATATTGAAGTTCGCGATGGACCTTTTGGGTTTTCTCCAATAATCGGACGTTTTTGTGGACAACAGAATCCACCTACGATAAAATCCAGTGGAAGATTTCTGTGGATTAAATTTTTTGCCGATGGGGAGCTGGAATCTGTGGGGTTTTCAGCTCGATACAATTTCACGCCTGGTAAGTAAGTTCGTGTTTTATTTTCCTTATGTCTTTTTCTTCCTTAGTTTAATATCTTCCTAGTACAAGGACATTGGTAAGACAACTTCATATTTTTTCAAAGAATTTTCCAATTTTCTTTAAAATCAAACCGGTAATGCTCTCTCTTTCATTTCACAAATTCTGAAAGGGAAATAAGTTTTCCTTAAGCCTACACGAGAGTAAAGAGCAGTGACCCAGGGGTCTGGATGGCCCTCGGCAACGTGGTTCATTAAGTGGACTTCCATTCGGCTGAAATGAGTAATTTCAGAGACAGCCTGTAATAAAGAAACTAATTATACATTAAATCCCAATAAACTTGAAAAGGCAATTGTAGCACTGTAAAATGGATCCATCAAAATGATCTTTGGAGACTTTGAATAAAAAATTCATTTGTTCTGAAAATTATAATTTTTAAAGCAAATGGATTTTAGTATAAAGCAGTCTAATTTCTTTATGGAAATGAAAATCTCTAAGAGGGGCAATGAGAGGAAAACTGAGACCCACAGCAACCAGACATCCATTCGCAAGGCCTGGCAGTCATTATCCGTAATTATGTAATTGTGGTTCTATGTCAATTCTCTCTTAACCTGCTCGTGTTAAAACAGTCTGTGATGTTCACTGGCTCACGTCACGATGCCTTATCATTTAGTAGGGGAAAAATTAGTTATCGCATTTTAAAACCGCAAGCGTGTCAGGCTAACGCAATTTGAGATTTGATGAACAGATGTCCTTTTTTTTTAAATGGGAAAGTAAATCAAATTACATAAAGTACATAATTTATATATAATTGCATATTTTTTTTCCATTTGCACATATTGTTTTACTTAGGTTATAATGGGCGCTAGATGAAATTGGAATCTGTGTAAAATGTGTGGATGTTTCTCTTCTGTGTTACAAAGGTAACATCAGGGCAGGGCTAGGATGCTCAGTTTAAGCTCTAAAATTTATAAAATAATATAAAATGAGCAGTGACTTTCACTGTGATAACATGCTTCGTGTTAAATGAGTCAGATGTTACCTGTACCCTGTATATTCACCTTAAACATTAGGAATCTTTTCAGAAGATCACGAGGAGATCGTGGCTTTAATAATGCTTCGCTAATATTTGATCATTTACAGAAGTCATGCGTAGTTAACGCGTAGCTCTCAAACTCATTTGACAATATCTCGAAAAGGTGTGAAGATTCGGAGGACGTTCTGCGCGCTAGAGTTATAAACAAAAAGATACAGTTTGTCTTAAGTGCTGTTCTGAGTGTAACCAGGGCCTAACGGTAGTGGCCCAGGCTGTGGTCAGGGCTTTTACACGTCGTCTCCCCATCCTGAGATTGGCGGTCACGGGAATAATGTCCAGGATTTTAACTCGTGGTCCCATAAAGAAGGGAGCGTCAGCTGACATAGTTCATCAACAGAAGCAATGCGCCGACCTCTCTGGCCCTCCCGGAGACTACGTGAAGGGTGAGCTCGTCCCCCTCCCGAGGCGGGACCAGCACGTGTCCCTGGGCGGTGTCTTCCTCTCCTTGTCACTTCAGCCGCTCCTCACTTCACCTAGAGAAGGGGATTTCATGACCAGGGACGACGGGATCCGAGGAAACACGAGGAGGCGATTCTGTAAAACTAAGGGCGAGTGACGGGTTGACGGACGCCTTGGTTTTCACTCCTGGGCAGGGAAGGGGACACTGGGCACAGGACGGGAGAGTGGGGCCATCAGAAGGAGGTTTGTAGAGCCCCACGAGGGTGGAAGGTGATGTTCTAGGGTGTCAGGCCCTTGTCTGATGGCACAGCGTCTCCAGCTCACGCCAAGGAGAGGCCTTCCCGGGAGCCAGCTGCTTAAGGGAAGAGGGCGGGGCAGGGATGGGCGGTGGTGGAGACAGCTGGAGGGAACAGGGAGTCAGGCAGGGTCAGTTTACCTGGCTTAATTTTTACCTGGGGTAGGCTGGAGGTGCGGATTTGGGGCAACAGCCCAGGGAAGGGGAACAGAGGCTCAAGTGGACTTCCTGATGTCAGTGGTACCCATCGCTGGCCCAGCAGGGCACCCAGGTGGGAGGGATTGGAGGCCTGGCGGTCAGGCTGGGAACAGACCTGGCCTCGAGTCCGGCCTTCTCGTTTATTGCTTGCTGTGAACTTCGAGAACAACCCTCAACATTCTGTGCCGCAGTATTTTTATTTGTAAAGTCGGGATAATACTCAGCAGCTCGTAGGATTGGTTGAAGGCAGACTGGTTGTCAACCAACGCATATGGGTGTATTTATTCACTTCCTGTGAGGTCTCAGCTATTGGTGGCTCTTACTTTCATTAGTTTGACCAGGTTCTTTAAGAGCCAAGGAGGCTCGGGATAGACAATTAAGAGAACATGTCCTTGACCTTGTCAATTAGAGCAGCTCCTGCCCGGATTTTGAGGGCAGGTATTCAAAACTAATATCTGCACAATGTCACCTTTTCTTGTGAAGTTTGTTTAAATGGGTCTAGGCCTCCACGTGGGGGTTACAGTTACCTCTGTGGCAGTCATCAAAAACGTCAAAGTAGAAATAGCCATGGGAAGGCCAGGTGGTCTTATTATTTCTGTGAATTTATCACAGTCTGCATCTGACCCTAATCTTACAGTGTCAGACACCTGGAGTGAGCATGCTGCCGAGGTGCCATCCATAGGAAAGAATCATGTTAACCAAACAGAGGAGACACGTATGCACTTATACACGTACATATACATACACACACACATATAAACAGGCACACATTTTCAGTAGGAATTCTTAGAAGCACATAGCTCAGGTTTTCTCATGAACACACACACACGGGAACACACATTATCATCGGAAGGCTGGTGGTGCGTGTAGAATCCAAGTGTCGAAGCTCAGACGACAGGCGTGTTCAGTAGCATCCTGCCACCATGCCGGACGCATGTCCCTCCCTTGGGTCGTTTTTTCAGTGGTGCTCTGGGTCTCAAACCGCATGGGTCAGCTCCCTGCCCAGTCCTCAGCTCCCATCCTCCCTGACTAGGACAGAGTTGGGTCAGCGCTTATCGCAAAACTTGTTTCTGATTCTAAATAACTTCATAAAGTCAATGAGAGTCTCCTTGACTTTCTTCTCTACTCAACTTTAAAAAAAACCCTTCCATCCCTGTCTCCGCGGTTGCTTCAACGGGAAGTAACCAACTGGATGGGGAGGGTGGGAGGGAGGAGCCAGAGAGGGTGCCATGGCAACCCTCTTCCAGGGGCTTCTCCTGCATCTCCTGACTCATTCCCACGACTCCTCACCTGTTCCCGGAACTGTGCTTTGGGGGTACTGTCATCAGCCAGGTGCACAGTGCCATGCCGAGTCGCTTGGGATCCCTGGCGGGTAGTGGGATCGAGCAATGGTCAGAAGTCAGCCAGTAGATCCTGGGTCTGCAGACCTGAAGGACCAGCGTGAGGCTCAGGGAAGGACTGAGGGCCCAGGGCCCGCAGAGGTCCCAGATGAGAACTGCAGGGACAAGTTCTCTGCTTCCCGTGAGGTCGCCCAGCCGTTCACCCTCCCTCTCCCGGGAAGAGACAGGAGTGCAGAATCGCTGAAAATGTGGAAAGTCACATGTTGGGAAATTTGATAACCCACAGATAATTTAATGAGAAAGCATATAAAAGTGCTCACAGTAATAGAATGCTATTTCTTGTTTTCTCATCTTCAGACAACTGAGAGAAAAAGGCTTAAACCAAGTTTATTATATAAACATGAATGATGAGAAAATATGTGTGATAAAAGTACTTTAATACGACTAGAACACTATTCACCAAATGTGCCACAGCGCTGACCCTGGGCAGGAGTCATTGGAAATGGGGGGCCTTTGAAGGGACTAAGATCGAGAAAGGGGGGAAATTTATCAGCAGCATCGGTAATGCTTGAATTTCTGAAAAAAGATTCCATATGTTTGGCTTTACTTGTGTAAATAAAATTATTTAGGATTAAAAAAATCTAAAAATAAAAAAAAGACTATAGTAGGTCATTTTAAATGAATTTTTGGAAGGGAAAATATCACTTTTCCATATTCCACAATTTGTTTTTTTTTTTTACTCAAAAAACAACTTTTGAGTAGAGAATAACTGTCCCCATCTAGCTAGCTTTCTCCATGCTGTCATTTTTTTTTTTTCAGTTGAAAATATAAACTACGGAGAAAACATGCTGCAGGATGTCCCCCTCGTTTAGTGGTATTAGCAGGACTTTGCTCAACAGCAGGAAGGATGCTGCTCGCTCCTGGGGAGAGAAACCCTTTCCGTGTCGTTAGGAACAACCATTGGGTGGCCTTGGTTTCTACCCCCAGTGGAGAGATGTCCTGCCACGTGCAGGCAGAGCCTGGAGTTTATGCACACTTCCTCTGCTGACGATATGTTTTCCGGACCAGTTTCATGAAAGAGAGTTGTACACACCCTACTGGAGAAATTTCATGCAAGGGTTATGCCTCAAAGCACCGAATCGGTGAGGCTGAGTTAGGTATCGGCATGGAAGTGGGTGGAGTTTTTAAATAAGTTGAATTTCGAATGCTCCTCTGTACTTAAAGAACACCTTTCATCTGAGGAGCTCAAAGCGTTTTAGGGACGTTCCGCCCAGCTCCTGGCCTCCTCTCCACTCCGTGCCCACTGACTTCAAAGCCACGGAGCAGACACACTGCAGTGCTCTGATTCAAATGGAGTCTTTTTAAAAAATTTCTATGCATATTAAATCCAATCTATTAGTTAGGTAAAATACTGTCATGGATTTGGTGCAATTTCAATTATTTATTGTGATCCTGTTCCTTTTTTATCTAAAGTGTAAATGCATGTGTATTAACCATGCTGAAAGTTTCTGCATTTCCTTGTCTAGATAATGAGAATTTTAATAAATGCTCTGAATATATATATATATATATATATATATATATATATATATAATTCATTTTGACTTTGCCCTAAAGATGAAAGAAGGAAAGATTTCAGGTCCAGCAAAGGCTGATGAAAGGAAATGTATGTGGC